ATAAATAATATGTGCATATACCTCTATATATGTGTGTATATATATATACACACATCCCAGTGGGCTGGGGGCCACACACTTCCCTGAGGGGCCTGGGCAGGCAGAAGTCTGTTCCTGTGGTGGCTGGCGGCTCAGAGACAGAGGAATAGAGGCCGACACGGAGAGGCTGGGGCTGAGAGGGACGGTGACAGAAGGAGAGAGAGAAACTTACAAAGGATAAGGGGAGAGAGGCCGAGAGAGACCCAGAGTGTGACTGGCAGAGCAGGAGGCTGGCCCAAGTGGAGACGAGAAGTCAGGCTGCACTGCGAAGACAGAAAAGTGGGGACAGTGACGGAATGCAGACAACGGTCATTCTAGAGAAAGGCACAGCCAGAGAAACCCAGGTGAGAGGATTAGGGACAGAGAGGGCAGCAGACCCCCAGAGAGGCACGCACCCAGGAGCAGGCAGACAGACAGACAGGACGGGGCCCAGGCTGGGGCTTGGGGAGGCTGGTGACTAAGGGTGGGGGAGGGGCCGGGCACGTGTCCAGTTCGGGGGCACCGGCAGTTCGGTCCAGCCCAGTCCAGGGCAGGCTGAGGGGCAGGGCGGAGGTGAGGGAGGTGGCCCTTGGCTTCCGGATCTTGGTGTTTACCTGGGGCAGGCACTGCAAACAGGCGTCCGGCCTGGCCCATGGAGGGTGGGATGGGGTGGGCCCCAGCTCTGGCACCACTGGGCCCGACACGCCCACCTGTGGCCTGGGCAGTGAGTAACGCGGCGACACCTGGGTAGATGGTGACACATAGAGGGGCAGACACAGTGACACACAGAGACAGATATAGGCAGACCCAGAGGGTCAGAGACATAAACAGACCCACAGGCCCCAGTGACAAAGACGCACTGTAACAGACACACAAAAGACAAGGACAGAACAGGGACACACGCATACAGAGTGACACAGACCCCGCAACACCTACAGAAACCCACCGACAGACACGGACACACACACATGCAGGCACACACAACGCACGCTAACATGGCGACCAGAGACACATCACAGTTAACATACAAATCCGTAGGCACAATGACACAGCCTGACAGCAGGTACATGCATGACACCCAGTGACACGCTGACACGGACATGCACGTACGCACTCGTAAACTGCCCGGACTGCTAGCTTCCAGAGCCTCCCTGCAGCCGGCTGTGGCGGGGGTGCCTATGAGAGGGCTGGGGACCCCAGGGCCCCCCCTGGCTGCTGTTGCCCCTCCCAGGCTCTAGAACAGCTTGGCGGTCAGGGGCACTGACTCTGCCAGACCGTCTGGGTTCAAG